AGAAAAAATCTTGTCTTGCCATGACAGCTGTGCTTTGAAAGGGTTTCATGGTACTGAGAATAGAACTTTACTGACAAGTCCATTTCCCATCAGTATTAATTATTTTGTTTCCAGTGTCTTGTCCAGTGAGACATTGATTTCATCCTTATGAATGTTGATGTGAGAAGGAATGTGGTAAATATAATGCCAGAGATATACAAGTGTTGTAGGTATGTGACAGCAAAGAAGTTGTTGTCTATGATACTGTTGTTGTCCTCTTCTCGTAGCAGTTGTTAGACAAACAGAAGGACTTTACAAGTGCCCCCCATAATTCATGTGAAAATGGTCTATTTGGAGACAACCTACACATGCATAGCATTCTGTTGTTCATGTACTTTCCTTCGACCTTGTAAATTCAACATAAAGAATACTTATGCATATATTCTAATACCTTACTTTTAAAACAAAATTAGTGATGTTACCTTCCATTTCATACCATCTTTTGTTCTGTCTCTGTTACTTGATCAGTCCGCAGCACACTCATAGAGCATACTCTCTATCTTAGGGGAAAAACTTCCTACTCATATTACCAAATATGTGCTCTGATGTTCAGTGAGACATATTGTTTAAACAAGCGCATTTTGTAACTTATTTGTCATACTCGCCTGTTGTTTTTTTAATAATATAAATATTCATACTGAGCAAATCTCATTCTCTATCTTAAGTGAGCCAGAAAGAGATTTTGCCTTCTAGGAGGGGAAAATGGTATATTGCCTAATCATGAAGAAGCTGCACTTGCATCTTCCATAGATCAGATCCTTAGCTAGTATCCACAGGTGTAGCTTGCAATATGTACATGCTGGAAAAATAGGAGGTCCAAAACAGTGCCTTATGAATTGGCTAAAATCATCAACAGAAAGTGCCTCCTAGTCTTGAAAACAACATACTGAGAAATGGCAACTGCCTAGGGATGAATGGCCATGAGGCTTTCAAAGGAGTGGCACCATTTAAGTGTGTTTTCTTTACTTACTAAACCACTGTGCGAGGCTCTTGTTCAAAGCTCTTATACTGGCTGTAATGGCAGCAGAATGGACTAGTACTGCACGTTTAAAAGTCTGTGTGGGTAGGAGAGCGCACACGACAGGTTAAAGAGAAGGAAATGGTAAAGAATAAACATGAAGAATTGGGGGTAAGAGGTGGAAATTAGAGGGATTTCCCCCCCAGACCCAGGTTAATTTCAATTAAACAGAGCAACACCTGTGTTTATCTTCTATTGCTGATCTACAAAGGAGGGGGAAACATTCCCCAACTTTACATGTAAAATAACAGGTTTCCAATTTACTAACCCATATCCCTTTCCCATTGTCCAAAGAAAGAGGGATCATACAGAGAGTCTTTTTGGTGCTATTAAGGATAGTAATAACTATTCCTTTTGTGGAACAAAGAACACTGCTAGTTGTCTGAGATGTCCTGAAGCTGCTGTTGTTAAATCCTAGCTCTGTTCTTTGAAACCAGGACAAGTTGTAGGAAGTGTTGCACACAGTGAAGTTATGAGGGCTGTCCAGGTTAATGAAATTTATCAAATTGAGACTTATGAAACAAAACCAAAAAGAGCTAGGAAGAATGTGGGGAGGTTGGAAGGACAACGAAGGGAAGGGGGAGCCATCAGTGACCTATACTGCCTATATTGCTACAGTTGTATTGGTGCTGAAGGTTTAGCTGAAGTCTTGATCGTCCTCTAAAAGGGAGAGAGGTACAGGCTCCAGAGGATACCAGTTTGTCAGCCAGTCCTAAATGTATTATTTTTAATCTACCTTTGTTCCCCATCCTGATTTGCCAGAGATTTTTTGAGCACTTTGGAAGATATAAAGGTCATAAAAAGTCCTTTCTATGGATATTTTTCTAGCTAGGAGGTTCAGGCCGTTATTTTTCTGTTACTTTCTCCTTTTGTCAGTTCTCATAACAGTTCTCCTGCAGTTTCCTGAAGACTGTCTTGTCTGAAATGGTTTATTAGTCTATCTCAGATTTATAAACCACTTTGTAATAGGCTGTATTAGATGTTTAAATACCCTAGAAGAAAGCAAGCTCCACTGATTTCTGCCTAGTTGCAAAAAACATCTTAAATGCAGAAGGGAGTGACCTGTGACTGGGTATCTAGTGCCATTTTAGATCTCCTAGCCTCCAGCTGCTGTGAAAACAAAGGCGTGAGTCACCATAGACCCTCTCACGGATGTGCCAACCCATCACGGGTGATAGGCACCCATGTTCAGACATCTGAATTGCTCCCTGGAGATCAGAATGTCTTGCAGTAGCCAAAAGTGTAAAGATGCAAAAAGAATTGTTCTGTCATCAGTGTGATGAAATGGCTATATTGTGAGATTGGCAGCAGAGATATTTTTTTCCCACTATAGTGACACCTATGCTTTTGCCACCACAAACAATGTCAGATTCTTCCCTGCGTATATTCTAGCCATGAAAAAAGCAGTTTCTTCCTAGCCATGATGAAAGAGAATCAAATGAATCATTCTGTATCTTTTAGCATAACGAAGATGATTGCTGACTCCTTATCACTAAAAGGCATGGGAGTACGTTGCTAAGTTGGTACTACATTTGGAGCTGAATATGTTGCTTAGAAAATACAGGTGTATGTATAGTCTCTTGCTCAGTGGTAATAGCATAAACTCCACATAGGTCTCTTGAAGTGGGCAAGTGCTCAGCACTGTAAACAACTTTACAAGGATTTAAGATCATTTGAACCTCCAAGAGGCAATGCATTTTTACTTATTCCAGACTTCTGAGTAATATTTTATCAAGAAAATAGAGAGATATGTTAGTGGTTAACAATTCAGTGTATTTTGCTTACTCTCCTGAGACCTGACCTCTGAAAGTGGAAAATAACAATGGGAAGAGACTAAAAGTTTTAAAAGATTAAAGTAGAAAGCCTTATTTCACTAATGTGAGTTTTTCCTTGCAGGTCAGTTGTATTGGGAAATAGTCATCATTGAAGCAATTACATCTGTTATGAAATGTCACATTTTGGTAGATAATCTTTTATGTTCTGGCACTGAGTGGTACCTCCAATTGTGTTTTCTGGGCTGGACAGGGAGTGTCTTACTATCTCACATTTCTGTGATATTAAGCAATTAGTGTGACGCTGGAAGACAGTTATAGCATGATACAATCTCACATCAAAATGTCAGTGTTGCCAAAAGACATATAATATTGAAAACAGTGTAATGTTATATATATCAAAACACTGAGATCATTGTTTGAATGATCTTCTCAGTAGAAAGGAGGATCTGATATTTACAGTTAGGGCCTAATTCTGCACCCATTCAGTGACAAAATCTGGGTGCAGAGTGATTTTGGTCTGCATGGGTGGAGTTTGCACAAGTCACTTGCTGATGAGCAATCTACCATAGGTAAATGCCTGTGAAACTCTGTAAAGGTTAGGCTGGAATGCTGTGAAGGAGGAAAGTGGTATTGGTATACAAATAAACAGGGTGATGATCTCATCTGAAGGTGAATTACTTGAGCTGTATTAAGCTATAGCTTCAATTGTCATGTTTCTGACTAAGGAAATAGAAATTTTGGCTTCTCTAACTTTTAAATGTAATTTTGCAGTTTGCAGCAAGCGTAGCTGTACCATGTAGTGTTGATGACATGCATAGTCTTCCCTTCTAGTGAGAAAGTGACTGTGATTGAACAGCCCACGTCACCTTGGCCTACTGTAATCAAACCCCAATGGGCCATCGCCCAGCGTCTGGCCAGTCTGCGATCAGCGGTGGACATCAGGGGGCAGGGAGCTCCTGTGCTCACAGGAAACAGCAGTAACCCAAAATAGCCACCTCTGTATTGTTGCATGAACATCAAATACTCCCTTGCGATAGCATAGACATACGTTTGTTGACTTTATTATGCTACAGTAGCTCACAAGTAGTGATGTGCTTCATTTAACCCATTTTGTAATATTTTAAACTATGCATTGAACACACGTTCATTCTGCACCTGGGGCCTGATCCAAAGCATATTAAATATGTTTGAAAGATTCAGTCTATTTCGATGATTTTTTGGCTCAGGCCTTCTATTTCTCTGAATGCTGTTGCTTTTTTTTTCTTTTTTTTCTTTTTGCTCATGGGCTGCAAGGGTTTTTTCTTTCTTTTAGAAATAGCTGCATTTAAAATAAAAGCAAGGAGTTGCACAAAGACAACCTGCATTCTCTCTCTATGTACACATTAAATGCAGCTGTTGTCACATGTATAGTGTTGTAATCGAAATACTGGGGCGCTATTCTGTACTCATAAGGCAGATGGTAGAATTTCTTAGAAAATATTACAATCTAGGTGAAAATTGTCATTTTGTGGAAAGATAAAGAGCTACAGAGAAAATAAATGGTGTAGCTAAGTGAAAAACTGATACTCAAAAACTGGAATGCAAATGTATGCTTAATGGCTCTCCACTCTGTAGTCAGATGTTATCCTGTCCCCAGATACTCCAGAAAACTTTATCAGAAAGGAGAGTACAGAATTTATTTACAGCCATCATAAGCACATTAAAATACTAGCAGGATAGATAGTAGTATAGATTTTTAAAGTAGAACTAATTTAAAGAGAACTGCAAAGCACGCTTGACATCTTGGAACCTACTGAGTATCCTGCATACTTTGAAGCCTTTGTCAAAGAAAAAGCCTCCCACAGTTGCTTCAGAGGCTTTAAAGATTTAATTTTGATTTTAAATTGCCTATTTGCAGTATTGTCCTCCCCCACTGCCTCGTCACGTCTTGTATGTTAAAATACACAATTTAAAATGAAAAGCATGCTTTTAATGCAGCTGTGGGGAAAGGAAAAACAATGGACACAAAAGTTCACAGAGGCTTTGGTGCTGGACTAAAATCATCATTTGAACTAAAATTATCTGGTGAAGTAGACCACAATTTCAGTCTGTCATAAAGATGATAATTTGGTCTAATATCTGATACAACTTCTATTATTAAGGAAAAAAATTCTATTTTGTTTTTTCAGATGCAATTGTGTGGAACCAGAACATCCTAGCAATAAAACCTTACGATACTGGCAGGACTACAATATATCTGCATCTGATGTGCCATGGGGGAACCTAACTGTGTCAGTAAGTGAAGTATTGGAACATAATAAATAAAGGCCTAAATACAGCTAATTTTGTGTCTCCTACTGCAGCAAGTACATTGAGAAAAATACCATGTTTTTTCTGATATTTGTTCAAATAAAGCTTAAAATATACTTGACTGGACAAAGATTATCATAGACTTCATAGCCTTATCTCCTTTTGTAAGCATTTTGCAGCCTTTGATAGTACACATTACAGCAAGTATGTGCATTTTGTGCCCTGCTTTGGAAACTCCTTGACACACTAGCACAAGAGTTTGACTGAGATTAAGTCTAAACATGTCAAATGACAACGCATTTGTCCTAAATTCTGCCAGATGGCAAAAGCAAAGTTCCCTTGTGTAGAAAGACTCTAGAAGCATTTATTTCCCCTAAAACATTCTTACAGCTGTTTGGGCTATAAAGGAGAGGGAGGAGAGGAATTTTGTAACATTTTCTGTTCAGTGGCCAAATTTCTCTTTTACGTAGGCCTTCAGTGTTATGTATGTCTTAGTTGTGTAATTCGTTTTCCAGGGGAGTGGGGGAACAAGCTACAGTTAGTTTGAGGAGGTTACATGGATATGTAACTTGTTTCTAAATGGTACAGTTTTCTAGGTTTAAAGGCTTTATTGCCTCAGGTTTGCCTTCTTTAAAGCAACATATACGACCTGATTATGTCATATTGAGATCAGGCCACCCCTTTTTCTCACAAATGGATCATTTCATTACACAGTCAAAGAGAATTGAGTGCAAAAGACACCGAACCAAAGGGTTCTCTCAAAAATATAACTGAATTAACCCCATCATGGGTACAACCAAATGAAACTCTTAAATGCCAGTCCAGTGGACCATCTCCAGCAGATACTGTTTTTTCTTTCAATGGCAAGAATACAGAAGACTGGTGTCCCCCTACCATGAGTTAAGCAAGAGCTGCCTTTCATGGCTGCTCTTTCTTGATAGCAAGGACTGCTCCTCAATTCTGTTGGTGTGGCAACAGCAGAGAGAAAGTTGAGAACTGCTGGCCTGAGGGATTCCAGCAATCCAGAATGAATATTCTCAAAATTGCAGCACACTCTAAGAGCATCTGTGCAGGGGCAGACTCCTCCTCTCACTTTCTCAGATCTCTGACAGTGTTTTTCAGAGTACATTTGCAGCTGAGGAGATTTAAAATAACAGATTTTGTTTTAACTATAAATGTAAAAGACCGGCTGCATTATATAAAACCCTTTAAAACTTCTGTAAAAGCTTATTACCGAAACTTGAGTTTACATGGGTAGCAGTATAACTGACTAACTTTTCCCACTAGTCCCTTGTCAAAGAAATAATGGAAATTTTTCATACTTCCATATATGTATTTCTTGCAAGCATCATCAGGAAACTTCAGTTCTCCTGTTCTAGAGAACTGCAGTAAAAGGTTAGACCTACTTGTCTCTATATATTTGGTTGATCTCACCCCACTGTCTTTTTTACTGCTCGTTCCTTCCTGTTGTTTTTTGTATCTGATTTAAAAGTTTCAAGTTTCTGAAGATCTAGATTGGTACTCTCTTAAAAACAGCAGTAGGACCAACAATTTTTTTTGCTATCTAGGACAAAGCAAGTGTGAGCAAAGTGTTTATTCTGATGGTGACAAAATACTTTTCAGTAGGTATATGATGAAATTTCATCCCTGTGCTGTGCCAACATCAAGGTCTAGCTCAGGCCAGGACAAGTTTTTTATTTGATGTCCCAGAATCTTGAGAATTTCTTCTGGATTTCCTGAGAATTTTTTTTCCCCATCTAAAACCTTTATTTCATCAGTCAGAAGTGCATAATTTTTATCCCAGGTTTACTGCTATACCAGTATAAAAAGTTTTGCACTCCTTTGTCTCACATTCATCAGATAGTGACTGTGGTTTTTTCCTAGCCAGCCTTTGTTCAAAGCCAAAATTTCTCATAACATGTCAAGCCACAGCATTGTGACATGAGTGATGAGCCAATGACCCGGTTCATTTGATACTAAAATATCCTGATCTGGCAGGATATTCCTGCCTGGAATCTCTGATTCTAGGTGCTGCATTTCTTTTTGCTTAATATGTGTGGTGGGATTTGGGAAGGAGAAGGAAAGGATTGTGAGTCCAGAGCTTGTAGCTCACATTTTTAGAGCTACTCTTTTTTTCTCTGCTTGTTACCTTGGAACGAGTATGGTTTTAAACATCCGAGGATGGTGTTGGAGAATTACTAGGTATGTTTTCTACTGTATCTGCATATTTGATTGTATAGTATATTGGATAGAATTAATGTTACAGGTTTTGGGGTTTGCTGCATTTTATCAGATGGCTTTTTTAAGAAAAAGATAATTCGTGGAATGTGCTGCCCCCATGTGGTATTAAATGTATTGGTCTCCTTTTAGGCTAATACTGTACATTCTAAGTAGCTTTTTCTTGAATTGCTTGACCTGAGAAGTTAAAACAAAAAAATCGGTTCTTGAGAATGCACCAGGAGCAGCCTTTCTCTTGGTAGCTTTCGACCTTCGCCTTGCTCTCTTGGAAGGAATTAGGAAGTGCAAATCTGTGTGTGTAAACAGAAAATAAGTAAGTGTACTTGTTCAATTTGAAATAAATCTGGTTTCATATTAATGACTTTATTTATGGTATGTCTTAGTGATGTCATCATTTAAAACTGGTTAAAAAGATTCTTTTGAGGGTTTGAGATTTTTCCATTCAGACTAGATACAAATGTTAGGAGTTTTAATTTTTAAAAGAGTACATATCTAAAAATTATTTTACTATTTCTAGTAATTCATTCTGTTTGAAATTTAGGAAAGTAACTGGAAAGCAAGTATCAGGGTATTTTTCAGAACAATACTACTTTGCTCTTCCTGATAGGAATGTAAAAAGTTCCACGGAGAGTTTGTTGGACGAGCCTGTGGTCATCATGGCCCTTATGTTCCAGATGTCCTCTTCTGGTCTGTCATCTTATTCTTTTCCACAGTGACGCTGTCATCCACACTGAAGCAGTTCAAAACTAGCCGATACTTCCCAACAAAGGTGTGTGACTTTTTTTTTAATTCACAAGTTGTCATTAGTCATGTGTAAGCATGAATTCCATCTGCATTGCAAATTCAATTAACTGCTGGCGAAATGGATGCTGCATCTTTTCTCTGTTAGAGAATTGTATCAGAGTAAGCATGGTTTTAACTGTAAGCACAAAATGGCTTAAAAGAGTGAAGAAAAATAAGTCCTAAATCACACATGAATGTTTTAGTTAAAATTGTCATTTTTCTCAATAATCACAGGTACGATCTGTGGTCAGCGATTTTGCTGTCTTTCTCACTATTTTGTCTATGGTTTTAATTGACTACGCCATTGGGATCCCATCACCAAAACTTCAGGTTCCAAATGCTTTTAAGGTAATTTGTTGATAAATTGCACTGCCTTATTATTTTGACAAAGTAGTGTGCTATAGTGGGTTTATTATATTTTTTTTTTTTTGTCATCAGGGAGTAGTGACAATATTCTGAATTTTTTGTGTTGACCAAGTATTATGCAACTTCTCTGTTTAGTGGCCTATGTAAGTGAGCCTCTCCCATCAGGCCTCTTCATGCTTCCTAATGTCTTCTGTGTGAGGACCAACCTGGCTCAAATTACCCAAATCCTAGACTACTGTAATGTTTTGGGGCTCCTTCCAAATTCTGGGCTCATTGTATCAAATACAACCAAGTCTCTAATATCCCAGATGATTTTATTATATGTAGCTGCTCTTTTTGGTATTGTAGGAAGTTTGGTATTTTTCTGTGCTCTTACATAGATTCATTTTAAAGGAAATCATATCCTAGTAATGTTTTTGTATGTATCCTTGTGAAGTTGGAATGTAAATAATACTTAGAGTTCTGACTGGTCATGCATGACTCTGTTTTTATAGCCCACCCGAGATGATCGTGGCTGGTTTATTACTCCTTTGGGGCCTAATCCCTGGTGGACAGTGATAGCTGCTGTAATTCCAGCCCTGCTTTGTACTATCCTTATCTTTATGGACCAGCAGATCACAGCTGTCATTATCAATAGAAAAGAACACAAACTAAAGGTATTCAGTCAAATAGTTGTATTTTCACTGTTGTTTTCTGCTTCAGGTTATGTAATGTACCTTCATCTACTTGAGTGTGCTAATTTATTATATGTTATATAGCACACCTTTAAACTGTTACGCTTTTTCTCTGTTGGTCTGTGTCATACCTGTGCCCTGTGTCAGTGATTCGCTGCCTTACAGAAGTCTTTATGAATGTGATTTGGAACAGATATTCTCAATGAAGTGCTATCCTCTATGCTTTATTAGAAGTATGATACCCATGCACCTAAAGAAAAAGATCTGAAAGTGAATAATTTCCTTAAGTACCATAATATGAATTGCCTTTTCAGATACTGATAGCATTGTTCTACTGGATCGGATTTTGAAAAACTATTCAGGGGTTATTTTGTAATATAACTATTTTTTTTCCTCTCTCCATCCTTCTCTGTGGTTATACCCATCCATTTTTTTATGCCCTTCCTGTTCTAAAGAAGGGAGAAGAGTAAAATGGAGCTTTAGAGGCACAATAGGTTCTTAAAACAACATAGGACAACTTCCTGCTCTGTTCTCTAACACTTAGTTGCCTACAGATGGAGAGAGAAAAAGGGACATCACCCCTCTGAAAAACTGTTGGGCAAAATCTAGCAGCAGGTTTCTGTACATGTATATGCAGCAAGCTTAGGCTTTTTTTGACATACTTTTAATAAGCAGCAATCCAATCCCAAGTTGCTTTAGCAAATGCATTTGCAACCTTCACTTTGCACTGCCTCTTCTTGGATGATTGTGACATTTGATATGTTCTTTTTTTGCCCTCTTTGTCAGCCTGGCTCTTCATGTCAATCCATAGCATTGCATGTGGTTAACTTGACAGATGCAGGAATTTGCTGCCAAGCTTTGGAATGTGTTTTTTCAGCACTGGCATCTGGGAGTCAGATGGTCCTCCTGGCTGCCCCCTTGTCTTGCTGCGTTTTAGTTTTGCTGGGGTCTGGTGTAGCATCACCTGTTGCTATGCTTCCTTTTCTTCCCATATGTCAGGTTCCTCAGATCATGTATGAATGTGAGGAAATGCTCTCGGATTCTGTATGCATTAGCAGCTACATTCCTCATAAATGTGTCAGAAGGTAAAAAAAGGTGTCTCTGTTAGGATTTAGAATTAAACTCTTTCTTTGAGTGCATTGTGCATGTAACTAATATCTGTGTTTGACACATCTCTGAGTTTGTCAAGATGTGTCTTGGAGATAAGACTCATAAGCACTTTTGGGGAGTGAGGGAAGGTTGCTAGAGTTGATTCTTTTAGTTTTCTTTACTTTACATGAATTCCCCTTTTTAAATAATGTAAGCAAATAAGATGGCATTTTCATTTCAATATGTAGCTTACATTTTCATAAACCCAGACGCTTCCCATTTTAGAAGTAAAAGTTGTCTTCAGAAAGAAATGATTTGTTTGCTTCCAACTCGTTTTCCCCTCTTTTTTTATACTTCCCATAGCAAATTCTGAATAGTGCACATTTCAGCTTTTGGCAGTCTCTGTAGCAAACCCTTCCAAGTTTAGTTTAGTTACTTTTTTTATGTCAAAAGGCATTTGCATGGGTTTACAGGCAAAATTATGGTTCAACATATTCACATTGTTTGCATGAACATCACTGTTTTATCAGACCATGACATTGGATTTGTTGCCATATTGCAAAATTTTGTGGAGATAACTACCTACCTGACTTTTTAAAGGAAAATAGCTTGAGCTCCTGCTTGCATGTGTGGTGGTCCCAGATACTTACTAAAATTGAAAAGAAGTATTCCTCTCAGCTATGGTAACAGATGTCTATATAACCAAGCTTGATGCACATCATTGGTCATTTTCAAGTGCAGGTTGTATTTGCAGGTTTTTAAATGTATCTAAGATTTGACCGAAGAGTTTTATCCATTACTACAAAAGCAAAGAAACATTCTCCCGTTGGTAAATTTATGGAGTATTTGACGACTCCAGATGATCAAAACCCAAATGAATGTTTATGATTGTACTTTTAAGTATTGAATAGGGAAACCAGTAAAACAGTACCTGATGATGAATATTATTTTATAGTTTAATTTAATGGATAGCTTAATTATAGATTAATTTCTCTTAATTTCTAGCAATCTGTTCTTGGATAAGATGAAAGTACGTTAGTGAAAACTTATTACTATCACATGCTTACCATCTATAAAAACTGTAAAAGGGTCAATGTGGTTTTATGTCCCCTTATAGCATAAACTGACTCTGCAAGTGTTAAGAATTTTTGTGTAGGAAAGAATCAAAATATGTATTTTCCCACCTCTTGTATAAGAATGGCTGGAGGGTCTATTAAGATTAGTGCAGTGGAAAAGTTGGCAGTGCAGCTGGATGTTCTGCTTACTGTTATCCTTGGAAGAGATTTAGTTAAAACAGAAAATTTATGTATTTTCCATTGTCTTACTGGTGTCTCTTGTATAAGCAGGAAGGGGTTTTGATGCCTGTTGTAAGCTGGATTTATGATATGTATGCTTAACTCATAACTGGAATGGATCTAATAACAGTAAGCATTTCTTGTGAACTAGTAAGAATTCCCCTCAGATAACCATTTACCATCACTGCTGACCCAACCTGGATAACACATACAAGAAAGCTATTTTTTTCTTACAAGTCACACATTTTTTAATTGTCTCTTAACTGTTCATTAGGAATGCCTGCCAGAAGTGGTGTTCTTAATTCAGATGTCATTTTATATCTTCTTGCTGTCATTACTTTTTTTAACAGAAAGGATGCGGATACCATCTCGACTTACTCATGGTGGCAGTGATGCTTGGAGTGTGCTCTATTATGGGATTGCCATGGTTTGTTGCCGCCACTGTCCTCTCTATTTCCCATGTGAATAGCTTAAAACTGGAATCGGAGTGCTCCGCTCCAGGGGAGCAGCCAAAATTTCTTGGAATCCGTGAGCAAAGAGTCACAGGGCTCATGATTTTTATCCTTATGGGCTCATCTGTCTTTTTGACAAGTATCCTGAAGGTAATTTGGGGAAGGAAGGAAAAGCTAAAGTATACTGCACTGCACTGAACATTTCACTGTTGTTACTCTATTATTTAATGAGTGCCCTTTCCAGGCACATTACTAACATAATGCTACACAATGATAATCTAAATCGGAGTTCTAATTTTGCATAATAAAACGGCTAGGCACATCTTAACATTTTTAAAACAAAACTGTTGTCATGAAAATCTGGCCTGACTGAAGTCAAAGGGAATTCTGCCATTGACCTGTATTATACGAAGATTCACCCTCTGTCTATACTTTGAGCCCATGGCAAACTACCATGAAACAGTCTTGCTAAGTTATACCAATAAGTAAATTTACTTAGAAAATTTAAGAATTTTGTGATTTCTGGATAATTTAAAACTATTTTCACAGTTGCAAGAGAAGTTCTTGGAAATGAACACGAAAATTCTCTTATGCTGCCTGCATACTCAACGCAGCTCACCAGTGTCCTGAAACTGGGTGTTTAGTTATATAGAATCATAGAATCGTTTAGGTTGGAAAAGATCTTTAAGATCATCAAGTCCAACTGTTAATATGCATATATATGCATAATATGCAATTATATGCATATATAGTACCATCTGTATACATAATACTTACTGTTTCTAAGAATTATCTGGCCTCTGTGCAATCAGTGAGAGTTTTGCCACTGGCTTCAGTAAGACCAGAATTTAGACTTGCCTGTTGTCACAGTGAAGGCCGTAAGCCCTTAGAACTTGCACTTCCCAGTAGTATTTTATTAAGTAAATCATAAAACCTTTACTTTGAAAACACAGAGAACATGCATTTTGCGTATTTAGTATTTAAAACAGATACTTACCTATGGAAATATTCCTTTACCTCCACACTGTGCGTGGAGAGCCTGAAAATGTAAAATAGTCTCTTACAAAATCATTTCATAGAAGTCATTCACCCATTTTGAAATGCTTACAGCACAGAACCTTTATTTTAGCAGTATGAAGTCTTTTGTGTGCATCTGGGAACATTTTTCTGAGGATTATAGCTTTACTATTCAGATGCTGTCCTGAGCAGTTTTTTAAGTGAAGAATTTAAGTATGTACAAACACTTCCATTTTTAGTGTAGTTCTGTTAATTTTATTAATAGTGAATAAAGTATATTGTAATAAATGCCCGTGAGAGGAAAATAAAACTATAAAGCCGAATTATTCCTATGCTTTATACTCTGAGAAACATTATTAATTTTTAATTGAGTGACTCTGAATTTACAGTCTGATTAATGCAGGCATATGGCACTTTGAATTTCAACTGTTTAGAATGTCTTTCTAGAAGCATTTAAATTTGTTAAATGGTATTTAATATGCTCTTCCCTTTCTCTCCTTGTTGTGTAGTTTATTCCTATGCCAGTACTTTATGGAGTATTTCTTTACATGGGTGCTTCATCTCTAAAGGGAATTCAGGTAAAATTGTTTTATGAAGTGTTTCTGATGATGCTTTCTATAAAATGTGTAGCTATTCTTACTATATTATTTTATTATCTTTTGTGTATAATCTTAAAGGAATGTTGCCAATCTTAAATTCTTGAAAGTGACTCACTTAAGAAAGGAAAATGGATTATCTTTAAATAGAGTATTCCCTTTAGGTAATATGCTCCAATTTTTTATTTTTTAGGTGCCTATTTTTCTGTTCTCCCTTGTTATCAAGGGAATTTTGGCTGAGCCTAAAAACTGAGTAAAAACTGTCAGGATCTCTTCCCTCTCCCCTGCCTTCCTGTTCACTTGCTTGCCTGCTGCCTTTTCAGCCTCCAAGTTAGTGCCTTTGTAGTGGTACGCTTGATCTTGAACTTTGCCTATATGAGACTTCTGGCTAGCTTGCCCTAAAACTAACATGCATGAGATTTTGAAGATTTTCTGTGCAAATAAATGCCCCAGGCAGGGAAGTGGAACTGCTGCAAGTCCCATGCTACTTAATTTCTGGTCTCGGGGTTGAAGGGCAAGTCTAGTGGAAGGGCACGCTT